TGAAATAAAAAATACTTAATTTTAAAAAACCCAAACGGCGAGCTCTGGTGGCCTAGTGGCAGGAAACTGCACTGCAATCCCAGAGGTGTGCGGTTCAAATCCACCAGATGCTCTGCTGAAGAAGGAGGAACAATCGCCTCCTGTACCAGTCAGATCCAATTTGACGGTACACATATAAAAAAAAAAAACAGGCACTCTTAACACATTGCCAGTGCCCATGCTGTAGCCACGGTGGCACATTTTTGTGGTTCACACTAACTCTATCACCCACCTAGACGTGCTTCCACTCACGACGCGTCATGCTTGACATGTGAGCAATGAAATGAGTGTGCACGTCACACTCCTGGTGATGCAGTCACAGTACCCCCAGCCCCAGAGGACACATTGCAACACCCACCCTCCACGAAACGCTTACACACGCACACACATCCAGGACGCACATTCATCAGGACACGTGATTTTCTGTATGTGAATTGTAGAATCGGATTCAGATCAAATCGGAGCTCCCCTTCTTCACCTTCATCGGAGCTGCAGCCCCTTCTTCTAAGCCTCGGGCTGTGGTTGCACTTCCTCTTGCTTATTAACTTGCAGGCGCTAGAGTGCAAATGAAGGTGAAGACAATTAAATGCACCCTAGGAGAGCCAAAATAAAACCCAGAGTTTATCCCACCTAAATTAAAAAAAAAAATCTCAGAATAGATCCAGTGCATCAAAACTAATGCCCAAACGCCAGTTGAGTTGTGGGAGGACATCACATGTGAAAAAAGCAAAAGGTCGTTGGAAAGTCAGGAAAGGAAGAACAAACCAAAAAAAGGATGTCAGAAGAGGCTCTGAAATGTGCTCTTTAACAAAAGGAAAAGGCATAAATGTTGCCATACGAGAGCTAAATGAAAGAATCCAAAGGGCAGCTCAAGAAGATAGTTGGACAATAAAATGTGCAAAGAGCTGAGGTTAGAAAACTACAGAGAAAGAACTCGCCAGCAGTTCTCAGGCTGAAAGAAATCAATTCAAGCCTTTAGATACAATCCTTGGAGGCAAGGATTCTGAGGCTCCGTCTGACATACTTTGGGAGGGACCAGTCTTTAGAGATGGACATCATGCTTGGGAGGGTGGAAGGACGATACAGGAGAGGAAGACCCTCAATGAGGTGGATTGATTCAGTGACTGGGGTAATAGCGATGGGTGTGTCGGAGACAGTGCGATTGGCACAGGACAGAGCAGAGTTTAGGGCTGTTGTACATAGAGTCACTATGAGTTGCAGCCAACTCGACAGCACATAACAACAACAGATGCAATACTGGAGAATCTGTGAGGAACAGTGCTGAATGATGCAGGAAGCATCAAAAGAAGATGGAAAGCTGACACTGAACCTCTTCAGACAGTGGCACATGATCAAAGTGCAATACTCCTGAAGGAAGAATCCTGGGCCTCACCGAAGGCACTGGCAGACTCTAAAGCTCTAAGAATTGACTGAATACAAATGAGGTGTTTCAGCAAAACATGAAGCCCTGAATGTGCTCACCCAGTCTATGCCAAGAAATTCAGAAGACAACTTCTTGGCCAGCTCGCTGGAAGAGATCCATGTTGTTACCCTTCAAAACTAAAAAGGTTATCCAACAGAATATGAAAATAATCTAAAGAGACATAAATATCACACACAAGTAAAATCTTGTTAAAAGTTATTGGAAAAAAACCTGGAACTGCCTGTTACTAGGGAAGAAAACCCAACACGGAACTTCTAGAAATTCAAGGTGAAGTTAGAAGAGCATGTGTCACGAAGGATATCATTGCCAGTGACAGGTGGGTCGTGGCTGAGAGCAGAGGATGCTGAACAGATGCTTGCTTGTGGTTTGTTTGTTTGTTTGTTTGTTTTAATTAAAACCAAATGTAGCCACTTTTAGGGCTCTTAATAATCTCAGTTGTCCTTAAGACTGTTGACAGAGCTTTAACATTTCCAGCTTTAAAAACATTTCTAGGGGAGCTCTGGTGGCCTAGTGGTAAGGAGCTGCAACTATAATCCCAGAGGCGCACGGTTCAAATCCACCACCAGATGCTCTGCCGAGGAAGGAGGGACAATCTCCTCCTGTACCAGTCAGATCTGATTTGACGGTACACTCACACAAAAATAATAAAAAAATTTAAAAAAATTTCTACAGAAACATATACAAGTAAGCAGAGTAAATTGGCTGGCTGGCTGGCTTGTGTTTTAAGAACTATGCTAAGGCAGTTGACTGGATCATATTAAATTATGAATATCACTGAGAAGAATGGGAATTGCACTTAATTATGCTGCAAAATCTGTACATAGTCTAAGAAGCAGTTGTTCAAACTGAATACTGTGACATTGTGTGGTTTAAAATCAGGAAAGGTGAGAGTCAGGGTCGTATCCTTTCTGCATACCTAGGCAATCTGTATGCCGAACAAAATATTCAAAAAGTTCAACTCTGAAGAACAATGTGACATCATGATTGGGAGAAGATTTAACAACTTACATTATGCACATGATACAACCTTACTTGCATAAAAAGAAAACTTGAAGCCTTCACTGAAGATCGAAGACTGCAGCTTCCAATATGGATTACATCTCAACATCAAGAACACAAAAATCCTCACCGACCAACAAGCAACATCATGATAGATGGAAAAAGAATGAAGTTGTCCATGATTTAATGTTACTTTGATCCACAGTCAACACCTCCAATAGCAGCAGACAAGACATCAAAAGATGTGTTGCATTGAGCAAAGGTGCTGCCAAGCACCTCTGGAAAATGTTAAAGAGCTAAGATGTTGGTTTAAAGGCTAAGGTGTGCCTGAAGGGAGTCAGGGTATCTTCCGTAAATTCCTATGCGTGTGAAAGATGGATAATGAATAAGAAGACCAAGGAAGAATTGATGCCTTTGAATTGAAGTGGTGCTGAAAAGTACTGAGTATTCCATGCACTGCCAGGAGAACAAACCAATCTATCACAGAAGTGCACCCAGGGTGCTTCTTGCAGGCAAGAGTAGTGGACCTCCGTCTCACATGCTTCAGGCATATTGTCAAGTTGTTGTTGTTGTGTACTGTAGAATTAGACCAGACCCATAGCTGACCCTCCAGCAGGCTTTCAGAGGAAGTTAATTGCATGGGAGGAGATTGCCCACCCTCTCGTGGAGCAGCTGGTGACCTCAAATCAGAACCACTCTCAAAAAAACTCAGTTACATAGTCACAGCTGACCCTCCAGTGGGTTTTCAGAGGCTGTAAGTCTCAAAGGAGGAGATTGCCATTTTTCTCCTTCAGAATAGATAGTGGATTTGAACTGCCTGTCTTTGGAATGGCAGCACAATTTCTTACCCACTAGGCTAGCCTCCCTCAGGAGACACTTGTTATGTTCCATTAAGAAGGAACCAATTCTCAGTTGGCCCTGCAGTGGCTTTTCAGAGGCTGTAAATCGTATGGGAGATTACCCATCTTTCTCCCACAGAGAAGGTAGTGGATTCAACCACCTGCCTTTGGTTCGGCAGCATAATTCCTCACCACTAAGTCACCAGAACTTCCCCAGGAGGCACTATTGTTGGTAGGCGCTGTCACAGTTGTGAACCCTGTCCGATCCTGTGCCACTGTCATCATCTGTGACATACCTGAGCTGCTATCACTCTGTCAATCCTCACACGGGTCTTCTCTTTCACTGACCCTGCCCTTTTCCAAAGAGGATCCCCTCCAAACAACATGGCCAAAGTATGTGAGATGAAACATCACCATCCCTGCCTCTAAGGAACACTCTGGCCGCATCTTCTCCAAGACAGAGCCTCAAGACAGACTGTGTTTGTTCTTTTGGCAGTTCATGGTACTCTTCTCCAACACCACAGTGCCTGTGCACCAATTCTTCTATCATCCTTCTTTATTCTCCAGCTCTCAGATGCATAACAAGTTTGAAAAGAGCCTGACCAGGGTCAGGCGCACCTTAGTCTTTAAACTGACATCCATGCCCCTGGGAAAAGACATCATATGCTATGCTAAGTAGGAGGTCAGCGAAAGAGAGGAAGACCCTCAAGGGGAGGTCCACACATGACTGCAATAATGGCTTGAGGATGGCAGAGATTGTAAGGATGGTGCAGGGTAAAGCAAGGGCCAGATCTGTTGGTCACGATAAGTTGGAGTCCTCTCAACAGCACCTAATAACAACCACAGAACGTGGATGCTGCAGTAGTAGCACTGAAAAAGACCCCTATATCTGAAAGAGAAGTTGGGGCCAGATCAGAGGCTTCGTTCACCCTTCTCCTCCAATCCAAACTCACGTGTATTTGGCTTCTTTGCCAGCTCCGCCAAAATCGTGCCCAATCTGCTGTCCAACTTTGAAACGTTCTCCTTGATATTGTTGCTCACAGCTAAAGGGGGAGGGGAACAGGAGAAAGTCCTCACTTGCATTGTAATCTCTTTCCTTCCTGATCTCCAGTCTGAGATGCTACAGACCCTCATGTCCTTGGAGTTCTCAGCAGAAGTTACACCAATATCTCAGAGTTTTGAGAGACTGGAGACCCTGCCTGCCCCTTCCAATCCCAACACCTAAGCCTCGTGCTTCACGTTGACACAAACTCGCCAAATGAAGACAAGATCTTCCAAAGTACCTGCTTGCAGTCTGTCCAGTTTAGGGCTCAAAGTCTGGATGTTGCTGGTAACTGTCTGTCTGAGTTTATGCTGAGAAAGTCTCTCGTTCTCAAGCATCAAGCTTGTCGCTGAGGGCATGGAACAGGGGTCACACCCACTCTCTCAGGAGGCCCTGAACCCCACCACACCCCCTCAACCCTCCAGGTATGCCTCACACCGTTCTGCAGTTCCGTTTTCAAGTCTTTCAACTCCTGCGACATCTCAGAATCTGTCAGGAAGGAACAGAGAAACCCATGCAATCCTAGTCTGTACCTCCTGGGAACTGAGCTGGAGGTGGGGGGCAGGGGCAATCAGGTGAAGCGTTGGGCCCTCCCAGCTCCTAGAAATTGTGCCCCACTGTCCCAGGCCCCCCTCCATGAAAAAGAAAGAAACAAAATACAACTTACTCTTCACCAGGAGTACGGCTGAGAGAATGATGAAGAAGATGAAGGTCAAGGCGAGGAGAATGTATAGACTCATAATGGCTCGGTACATCCATTGTGGGACCTGGGCAGGTCCTGAAGGTGGGCTGGATTGGGCTGGAACTGGACCAGAGAGCCAGGACAGGTGACCTCTGGGGCTTCAGGTCACTACCACTCAAACCATCAACAACACTGTCTCTCCCCATCAACAGCTCTGTCGCCTACACTCCTTTTTGCCGATACAAGAGGCTGCCATTATCAAGAAAGTTTTCTTCATTGCCATGACTACTGCTACCACCAACATACATTCTCACCAGCACCCTCAGCAATTGTCCCTAACACTGTCACCATCAAACCCCTTACCATGTGCTGCGGATTAATTTGTGTCCTCCTCAAAATTAAATGTTGGAAACTCAATGCCTATACCTACAAATTTGGAAGCAGGAGTGGCATCCAATTCCTAAACAATATGACTCCAGAAACTTTGGTAAATGTCGAGAATTGTGGAAGGGCTGATTCAGACCATTTGTTCATAGGGTCGCTATGAGTCATGCTCAACTCGAAGGCAATCAACAACAACCTACAAATATACTGGTAGAGGTATCCCATAATGAAATCTAATGCAATGGCATCCCATTCCATAATGCAATGCCAATATGATCAATTCAATTTTTTGAAGACACACCAATGCAGGACAAGACCTAGATCTAATTGCTTCTGAGGATATAAAGATAGAGATACTTACAGTTATGGCGTTATAGTTACATAATCTTATATATAGTTTCATATATATATATATATATATAAATTTATGTAGTTATATGTAGTTGTATATAGTTATATATATTTGTTATATATGGTGATATATATATTTGTTATATATATGGTGATATATATATTTGTTATATATATGGCGAAATATATATTTGTTATATATATGGTGAAATATATATATATATATATATGGTTAAATATATATATATGTATATATAGTTGTTATGTGCCGTTGAGTTGCTTGCGACTCATAGCGACCCAATGTACAACAGCCCTAACCCCTGCTCTATCCTTTGCCAACCTTGATCTCCTTGTCTCAGACACACCTACCTGATTACCCCAGTCACTGAATCAATCCACCTCATAGAGAGCCTTCCCCTCCTGTGCTATCCCATCACCTTCCCAAGCATGACATCCCTCTTCAAGGACCAGTCCCTCCTTGCAACATGTCCAAAGTATGTCAGACAAAGCCTCAGAATCCTTATCTCTAAGGAGTAGCCTGGTTTAACCTTCTCCAGGATGAAACTGTTCTTTTTCTTAGCAGTCTGTGGTACATTTAATACTCTTCTCCAACACCACAGCTCAAAGCCATCAATTCTCCTTCTATCCTCCCTATCTATTCTATCCTCATTGTCAGCTCTCTGATGCATAGCAAATGATTGCAAAGACCATGGCCTGTATTAGGCACACTTTAGTCTCCAGAGTGACACCATTGCTCTTCAGTACCCTGGCGAGGTCCCTAACAGCAGACTTTCCCATAGCAATATGTCTCTTAATTTCCTGGCTGCTGGTGCCAAGAGTGTTGACTGTGGAGCCAAGCAAACTAAAGCTGTCAACAATCTCAATCTCTTCACCATCCATCTTAATACTGCCAATTGGCCCAGTGGTGAGAATCTTTGTTTTCTTGATATTGAGGCTTTATCCATATTGAAGGCTGTGATCCTTGACCCTCTGCAGCAAGCACTTCAGGTCCTCCTCAGTTTCAGCAAGCAGGGCTGTATCATCTGCATAACGCAGATTGCTGATAGATCTTCCACCAATTCTGACCCCACATTTCTCCTCCCAGATAATCTGTTCTGCATACAGGTTGGAAAGGTATGGAGATAGGATACATCCTTGACATATACCCTTCCCAATTTTGAACCATGTGGTGTTTCCTTGCTCTGTTCTGATGACTGCCTCTTGTTTCAAGTATAGGTTTCATATTAGCATGATCAAGTGTTATGAGATTTCCTTTCTTCTCAGAGTCATACACAGTTTGCTATGATCCACACAAACACCTTTGCATAATCAATGAAACACAGATAGACATTCCTCTGGTATTCCCTGCTTTCAGCTAAGATCCACCTAACATAACCTACAATATCCCTAGTACCATGACCCTTTCTAAACCCAGCCTGGACTTCTGGCAGTTCTCTGCTGATGTGCTGTTCCAGTCAGTTTTGGATATTCTTCGGCAGAATCTTGCTTGCATGTGATATCATTGATATTGTTCTATAGTTTCCACACTCTGTTGGGTCACCTTTCTTTGGAATGGGAACAAATATAGATCTCTTCCAATCAGTTGGCCAAGTGGTTATTCTCCAGATTTCTTAGTACAACTTGATGAGCACATCCAGGGCAGCATCTGTTGGTTGAAATATGTCAATTGGTATATCATCTATCCCTGGGGCTTTATTTTTTGCTAATTCCTTCAAAGCAGCTTGAACTTCTTCCTTCATCACCATAGGCTCTTGCTCATATGTTGTTTCATGAAATTCTTCTGTGTCTGCCAATTTCTTTTGATACAGTGACTCAGTATACTCTTTCCATCTTCTTTTTTTAATTATTAAATTTTATTAATTTTAATGAACATTTACAGAGATTTTGGGTTTTCATTCATTGTTGCACTACCCATCTTCTTTTAATACTTTCTGTATCATTTAATATTCTGCCTAAAGCATCCTTAATTATAGCAACTTAAGGGGAATATATATATAGATAGATAGAGAGAGAGAGAGAATAGACACAGAGACACATGTATGCACACAAAAGAAGGAAGATATCTTCAGGATCGTCTGGAAGCAAAGGGTACCAAGGGCCCCTAGCAGACACCAGAACTAAGAGAGGCTTAGAGAAGGAATCTGATGTCTAGAACTTGATTTGGACCTTCAGTGTCCAAAACTGAGAAAATAAGTTTCTGTTCTGTAAGCCTACTCACTCATGGTGTTTATATATGACAACTAGGGGCCTGAGGCACCATCCACATCAACAACACTCACCAGCATCAGCGCAACTGTCACCAGCCCCCACATCAAGCAGTTTTATCACCAACACTTACAAACACCAGTGTCCATGGTTTCCAACAGTGTCACTATCAGCAAACCTCATCAGCTCTGTCAACAGCTCTGTCTCCTATTCCTTCTCGGTCAGCCACATTGCTACCTATGTTCCAACACCTTCACACACATCATCACCAACACTTTGGCCAACACTATAAACAGCACTATCGCCCGAAACTACAACCTCATCATCATGAACACGATCAATAGCACCATCACCTCAACTTCACCCACACCACCACCAAGACTTCCACTAACACTATCAATAGCACCATCAACCAAACCTTCATTCACACCATCACCAAGACTTCCACTAACACTATCAATAGCACCATCAACCAAACCTTCATTCACACCATCACCGACACTCTGGAGAGTACCATCACCCAAACTTTCACCCCCACATCACCAACACTTCCCCTAACACTGTCAACTGGACTTTCACCCACACCATCACCAACACTTCATTCATCACTACTGAGAGCACTATTACCCAAACCTTTCACTTCACCATCATGAAAACTATTAACAGCACTATCAATAGCACCATCGCCTAAACTTCACCCACACCAGCAGGCAACACTTTCACTAACACTATCAACAGCACCATCACCCAAATCTTCACCCACACTCCACCAACACTTCCAGCAGCACTTTCAATAGTACCATCACCCAAATCTTTATACACACACCACCAACACTTCCCCTAACATTATCAACAGCACTATCAATCAAACCTTCACCCACACTCCACCAACACTTCCCCTAACACTATCAACAGTAACAAAGCCCCAGCCTTCACCCACGTTCCACCAACACTTCCAGCAGCACTTTCAATAGCACCATCACCCAAATCTTCACCCACACTCCACCAACACTTCCCCTAACACTATCAACAGCACCATAATCCAAAGTCCGGAAATCTCATCACCATCATCACTTGCAAAGCTAGCCCCCACCACGTTACTGTACTGTCACCATCATGGACACCACCACATTCACACCAATTCCCCTCAACTTCTTCTTGCAGCCCCTCTTCCCTGGGAACCCTTCCAAACGTGTAGGAGGTGGGAAGGTAGACCTCTGCTCACCCTGACTCTGGAATGATGAATGGCCACTCTTTGGTTGGTCCTGGTTTCTGAAGGTCAAGTTGATATTCTCATATTCAGGGTCATCTGTACCTGTGGGGTTGGGTTGGTAGGAAGGATTGTTGAACTTGCCCAGGAGCTTTGCAGGGAGGGGCTCAGAAATCTTGCTTCACTGGACTTTTTCACTCAACATATTTCTGAGAGTAAAAGATAAGATCTGAATGATTAAGGTCTACTTCTCAATTAAGCGAGGTGGGGGGAGTGGGATTTGTACACATATGCGTACACACACACACATCTTAGACATAAAGGAAAGCCAGCCTCAGGAACCCCTTACAGGCCCTTCCCTCTTCCATATCACCCTTACCTCCTCAACCTCTTCATACCGCACCCCAAAGATCTGTACCTTTGTTTTTGGCTTGGATCCCCTTTTTCTTGTCTTTGAAGGTTGCTGCCTGCATCTTTGCCTTCTCGTTCATGTAGATTTCCTCGGCCTCCCTGGTCCCCTGTCACCAAGACATCCCCACCCACCGGAAGGTGTCAGGAAAGATGAGGAAATCCTGAGGTAGGAGGAAGGAAAGAGCCCTTAGCTGCTTCTCCTCGAGGTTCCACAACTCTCTTACCTGGAATATCTTCACTTTCCCCAAGTCATGAGTCCTTAGGGGTCTGGAGCTTTGGAGAGGCCAGGGGTAGAATCTCCCAGACTCAGAGATAGACAAGGACAGACAAGAAGTTAACAGGAAGGACACTTCTCTGTGTGTGTCTGTCTGTCCATCAGTGGAGTGGAATTCATCCTGCTCTCTCCTCTCAGTTCCAGGAAAGAAACTGTGGCACCTCACCTGTTAGGTTAAATGCAAAATTTTAGGAGACCCCCAGATGTCTTTCCCTCTCCAGCCCCTCCCCTCAGCTCTACCCCTAACAGATTCTATTTCTCCAAGGCTTTTTTGAAAGAAGAGGCGGAAATGAAGCAAAAGACCTAACCACTGGGAACCTACACCACCATCTGGGCCTGAGGTCAGACCCACTTCCCATCACTTGCTTTGCAAGCCCTGGAGGTGCAGCTAAAGGGAAGCCCTGCTCTGGGGACCACAGACTGCTAATCTCTCAAATTGCGCACTCTCTGTCATCCACACGTGTGCACTCTCTCAGTATCTTCCTGTCTTAGTCCTGCCTTCACACAAATACCCCAAGGAAGTTGTTATTGTTGTTAGGTGCTGCCCAGTGAACTATGCTGCATCACAACCCTATGAACAGCAGATCGGAACCTTGTTCTATCCAGCTCCGTCTCCATGATCTCCAACATGGTCCCCACCACTGCTCCGGTGACCGTGTCAGTCCAACTTGCTCTCCTTCACTAACCCTTCACCTTTCCCAGCATGACATGCTTTTCCAAGGATTGGCCCCTTCTGACAACATACCTAAAGTATGTGAGACGATCTTCCACCATCCTCGCCTCTATCTCGCTCCCTGGTAGTACTTCCTCCAAGACTGATTGGTTTGTTCCTTTGGCAGTTCACAAGATACTCAATATCCAACACCACCATTCAAAGGCATCAATTTTTCTTTAGTCTTCATTACTCACTGTCCTTTGCACAACAGTTCGTATAACATTAACTTTCAGATCCACAAAAAGCAAATGAAAAGACTATGGCTTAAGTCAGGCACACCTTAGTCTTTAAACTGATATCTTTGCTCTTTAGCACTTTAAAGAAGTCCCTTTTTTCAGCAGATTTTTCCCAATGAAACATATCTTTTATTTTCTGAAGAGTGGTTTTAAAGGAAAGAAATTTATTTTATCACAGCTCTGGAGGCCAAAAGTACAAAATCAGGGTCTTAGCTCCTGTCATCCACCTTGGGTGTTCCTTAGTTCCTTAGCTCATAAATGATCCCCATATGGCATCCGTGTGTCTGTGTGTGAGAGAGAGAGCTGAAAAATCTCTGTTTATAGTCTAGAGGCAGAACACAGCTGACAGAAACTCCCTTTTTAACTGATTGACTTATTATTATTGTTATTCAGTGCCATCAAGTCAAGTACAACATGTTGTTGTTATGTGCCATCGAGTC